CCTCCATCCCCGCTCCCCCCAGGGATGCCGAGGCCCCCGTACCCGCAGTGCTGGGAGACAGGTGAGCTTGCAAGACCCCTAACCCTGAGCTTCTCTTCCCCCTTCTTCCCCTGGCCTCCCCCTTCCAGCTCCCTCCTCTCAAGTTTCTCCCTCCCCTCTCCCCCTTTCATTTCTATAGTTTTCTATATTTTAGCTGCATGACACCATATTCTTTCACATAATCCTCTAAGTTTCGATTCATCTGTGGCCATCTCTCACTCTACATTTACATTTTTCTATGCCTAAATGTCTCTCATGTATATGTTTCAACATCTCTGCTGTTAACCCTAATGGAATTACTACTCTATTACCTTTAAACAGAATTCTTTGAATTACTGATGAGGCTTGAATAAATTGATTATATGACTTCAGTATGGCCTCTGCCATCCAGGCTGGCAGGAAAGCCTCCCCCTTTCTCTCACACAAATTATGCAGCACACAACACGCTGCCACCATGTGCAGAATAGGTCCAGGTGGGTGAGGAGGCATCTAAAACGGGCCTTCAACCAGCCAAACACCCCCTCCACCACGATGTGGGCCCTGCTGAGCTTGGCATTAAAGGCCTATCAGGAGGTTTTGAGGTGTCCCATGTAGGGTTTCATCAGCCAGAGTTGTAGGGGATAGGCCACATCCCCCACCAGGCACACAGGCATGTCCACGTCCCTAACCCTAATGCGATACCAGCAACAATTAATGTTTTGCCTGGCTAATATTCTAATTTTAAATCAAGTAAATACAATTGAAAAATATTTTTGTAACTGAGGTGGCATATCAATCATATTCCTTTTTGAAATATTAATTGTTTATGATCTGTTTCTTTTAGTACAGCTCTACAAATAAACATGAATTTTTGGCATGCAGAAATGAATGCAAAAACTTCTTTTTCTATTTATTTCAGCATAATTCCATTCCTGTTTTTTATATAGCTCTAGATGCATAAACTGTTGGTTTCTATAGACCGCCATACTTTTGAAAAATTTGACAATTCTGAAGACAATTGTGTAAGGGTATGTCTACACTGCAAAGTTAATTCGGAATAACAGCTATTATTCCGAATTAACTTCCATAGCGTCTACACAAGCAAACCACTATTTTGAATTAAATTTGAAATAGTGGGGCACTTAATTCGAGTTTGGTAAACCTCATTCTACAAGGAGTAACACCAAACTCGAATTAGCTCATTTGGAATGAGTGCGGTGTAGAAGCTTAGTCCGAATTAGTTGGCCTCCAGCCTTCCCAGGTTCCCCTAGTGGCCACTCTGGGCCAAACCAGGAAAACTCTTCTGCTCCCCCCATATCCGCAGCCCCGGAGCCCTTAAAGGAGTAGAGTCTGTTTGGCCACAAGGCCTGTGCCAGCTCCAGGGCAGAGCCCACAGGTGCTGCCCTGACCCAGTTGCCAACATGAGCCAGCCAGCCAGTGCCAGCCAGCCCTCCACCGCTCCCTAGAAGCAGTCTGGCAGCCCCCAGGAGCCTGCCAGGGGCTGGAAAAGGCAGACGCCTTCCTGGTCTAGTGCAGAGATCATGGACCTCATTCCGGTTTGGGGGGAATCCTCCAACATCTATGATCTCCACACTAGATGCAGGAACATGGCTGTCTACAGATAGATGGCTGACAACCTGGCCACATGCGCACAGGAGCAGGTGCACATGAAGATAAAGAAGCTGAGGCAGGCCTATGCCTGGGCCACAGGAGGCAGCTCCCAACCAGGGGCAGACCCAGACCCCTTGTCCTATTTCGACGCCCTGGACCACATCCTTGGAGACCAGATGGTCCGTACTCCCCAAGTGGTCATCGACCCTGGGGCAGAGGGCCCTGAGCAGGGAACAGAAGAGGAGGTGGAGGAGGAGGAAGATGGCCAGGAGTCACAGGAGCCTGGAGGGAGTGAGGCACTCACCCAGGACCCCCGAGTCATCACAGCAGCCATGTCACCGCTGTCTTCCAAGGCCGGGGAGGCCTCGACATGTGAGTGCCATCACTGTCCCCTTATGCGGGGTGAGGGTGGGGGGAAAGGAAAGCCCCGCTGGAACCGGTTTCAGCTGGCCTTAAATGCAATTCAGCATCCAAGCCGTGTGTACGCCGAGGACGGGAGGAGAGGGAGCCTAGGGTGTGGGCCTTGCTGACCACGGAGCATGCAGCAACCTGTGCATGTGCCATGCCAGCCGCACAGCCCCGGCTGGCTGCCACACAGGGGCTCTGGCCCGTTACCCACACGCATGTATGTATGAAGGCACGTGACATGCTTCTGATCCGGGGGAGGGACACTGCACAATGCCCTCCCTCCAGAAGCCCCCGCTACACAGATGCATTGTGTTGCCAGGGATAACTGACCACTTCTCTTGTTTCTTCACAGCTGCACCAGCTCCGAGTGCAGGGCGCACCACTCCTCCCAGGACATCCTTCCACACCCAGGCCAGCAGGCTCACCCGGAACCAGGAGTGCCAGTGGCAGCACCTGGGGTTACTGCAAAGGCAGGTCCGCAGCCAAGAGCACTAGGGCAAGAAGACCTGCAGGTGCGGCAGGAGAGCTTGTGGGAGCTGCTTGACCAGGGCCATGCCATCCACAACCACCTGCAGACCCTGGTGCAGAGATTGCTACCTGCTGCTGCGAAAGTCCCGGTGTACAGCCTGGCACACGGAAGAGTTGTGGTACACCGGCATGTGATGTGCTTTGCCGGATCAGACCACGTTGATGTCCACGAACTGGCCCCGGTGGTCAGACACAGCCTGCAGGATGACTGAGAAATATACCTTCTGGTTGATGTAGAGGGAGACCTGGTGGTCTGGCGCATGGATGGGGATGTGTGTCCTGTTGATTGCCTCCCCACCC